TTTGCAGTACTCTTCAATTTTTAAGTGCAAACAAATGTTTTTAGAAAAAATGTTTCTAGATATATATAAAGTCATAAAAACTGCATGCATAATAAACAACTATGCATGAATTTGTTAATAATATTGTTTAAAACAGTTCAACATGTCAAATAGGGTTGTAGCCACATGTAATGTTTGGGATTATGTGTTGTATATAATACTTAGTTGACTATGACAGAAGCATTCATTCTTTGAATAGAGCGGTTTGGCGTGTGTCTTGTGGTCTGTGATGCGCTGGATGTGGTCAGACAGATGCTGAGATGTTCAGCTGATGTGTTTCCTTCTAGAAAACACAGACCCGCTGGTGCGTAAAGCTTTATAAAGCTGCGACTGACCTGTTGTGTAAATCTGCCGCGTGAAACATCGTACAGTAAATGTGTTACAGATGTTTCAAAGATTCCTGCGGCCAGAAAAACTCATCAGACGTGCAGGGATTTAGCCGTAAGCCAGAAATAGCTGCTGACTATAAAATAATGCAGCTTAAAGCTGGATCAAATTACATTACCTAGAAAGCCATTAAACCCATGTTACAGGAATCTGATTGGACGACATAGAAACACATGTGAGTAATATTGCACCAGTGCGGCCGCTCCAGACAGACTGAAAGAAAGTAATTTAGAGTCTGTTAAATGGAGCGTCGCCGATCAATTGGACAACTTAGAGATCTATGATGGTCGTCAGTATAAACCTCAGTGGGGGTCTGTTTGGCTTAATTTATCAGTCTCTGATCATTTCCACTCTCACTGATGTGTCCCGTCGCTCTGGGCTGTATCAACTGTGCTTCAATCAATTTAAAAAAAATAGGGTCCCGAGTGATTGTGTCCATAGTAGGCCAGCTGACTGCCTCAATTATATAAAAGCGCTATAGAGTGCAACTGCCATGCTCCAGAAGGAAAATCCCATTGATTTTTTAGCAGTAAAGACCTTTCAAAACAGAACCTGACAAGAGATCTTAGTCAGGTTTTTAAAAAACATGTTTAGAAGAATAGAACACCCAAAAATGAAAATGTGTAAAAAATGTGCTCACCCTCAAGCCATCCAAGATGAGTTTGTTTCTTCATCAGATTTGGAGAAATGTGTCATTGCATCAGTGTCTCAGCAATGGATGCTCTGCAGTGAATGGGTGCCGTCAGAATGAGAGTCCAAACAGCTGATAAAAACATCACAATAATCCACACCACTCCAGTCCATCAATTTT